TCAAAAATTATATTTGAGTGTCCAAAAATTGAGATCTCGGTGAACTAAGCAGATAACTATTTTTCCTTACAAAATATTTCCTCAACATTTAAGAAAACCAGAAAGTATGGGTTGGGCAGATGGCTCAAAAACAAATAACAAAGGCCAGAAGAAGGTGATGGCTCTTCAGAACTTGAATTACAGACATTTGTGAGCTGCCATGTGGTTGCTGGGAATCAAACCAGGGTCTTTTGGCCTTCATGTAACTGTACTCATGTTGTGCACAGATATTTATGCAGACAAAAAACCACATATGCATAAAGTAAATGTTTTTGTTTTTGTATTATGTTATCATATAGAATTGTTTAAAATATCCTCTTATAATCTTTTTTATGAATCCTTATGTAATTATTTTTATTTTATTGCTATTTTAAAATGCATACACACAAACACACACACACACACACACACACACACACACACATATATCTTGTGCCTGAATTTTTGCCTGTGCACCATGTGTATGTAGTGCCCACAGGGGACAGAAAAAGGTATTAGATTCCCTACAACTGTAGTTATGTAAGGTTGTAAGCTGCCATGTAGGTACTGAGAAATGAAGGTCCTTGTGCTGGATAGTTTTATGTCAGCTGGATACTAGGTAGCTAAAGTCATGTGAGAAGAGAGAACCTCTTTTGAATAAATGCCTCTCTAATATTGAGCTTTACAGAAGATAGTATCTTAATGATTGACGAGGAGAGTCCAGCTCATTTTGGGTAGTTTCATCCCTGGGCTGGTGGTTCTCTAAAAAAGCAGGATGAATGAACCACGATGAGCAAGCAGTAAGAAGCACCCCTCCATCGCCTCTGTACAAGCTCCTGCATTCAGGTTCCTGTATTGTTTTAGTTTCTGTCCTGACTTCTTTTATAATAAGCAGTGATATGGAAGTGGAAACCAAATAAACCATTTCCTCCCCAACTTGCTTTTGGTCATGATGTTTCATTGCAGCAATAGGAACCCTAGATAAGACAGTCCTCTATAAGAGCTGCCACTGCTCTTAACTGCTGAACCATCTCCCCAGCTCCATCATTGCCATTGCTCCAACTCAGATTTTAGTTATTTGAATCATCCTTCCTTCCCCCCTTAGTTTATCTTGCTAAAGTTTTCTCAATTTTTGGATACTTTAAAAAGAAACCTTTTTGTTCCCTTCTGTTTATTTTATGTTCCCTACTTTGTTTTATCCATTTTATTATAATAGTAATAAACATCTACTATTTATTATTCATTTCTTTTTGCTTGAGTTAGGTTTAGTTTAGTTAAAATTTTCTCTCTTTGCTGGGTGGTAGTGTCACAAACCTGTGATCCCAGCACTTGGGAGGCAGAGACAGGTAGGTGGCTCTCTTTTGAGTTCTAGGCCAGCCTGGTCTACAGAGTTCCAGGATAGTCAGCACTACACGGAGAACCATTGTCTCAAAAAACACAAAAGAATTGTTTTTCTCTCTTTGAGGTATAAAATTGGATTCTTGGCTTATTTCTTTTTGTTTATTATTGCTGTAAATGTGTATTTTTGTGTGGTGTGTGGCACACATGCAGGTCAGAAAATAAGTTTTGGGAGTCAGTTCTCTTGTTCTATTGCAGTTTTCATGGGTTAAATTAAAGTTGTCAGAGTTTTATGGCAAGCCTTCTGAATCATCTTCAGCCCTAGTATATATTTTATTTTTAATTTTTTTAATTTATTCACTTTACATCCCAATCGTATCCACCTTCCTCCTCTCCTCCTAGTCCCACCTTCCCTCCTTCTTCCCCCCTCCTCTCCCCTACTTCTCAGAAAAGGGGAGCCTCCCCCCACCAGCCCACCATAGCACATCAAGTCTAAGTGCATACTATGCTTCAGTTTTTGTTTTGTTTTCAGATAGGGTCTTAAATAGATAATTTTCTGGAACTCTTTGTCTGTATCTGTAGCAAAGTAGATTTTAAAAATGTTTATTTATTTATTTGTTTATTTTGGTTTTTCAGTACTGGGTTTCACAGCTCTGTAGATAAGCTGGCCTTGAACTCAGAGATCCACCTGACTCTGCCTCCTGAGTGCTTGGATTAAAGGCATGTAACACCATGCCCAACTTTAAAAAATATTTATTACATGTGTGTGTTTTTGCATGCACATGTGTATGATGTGTGGATGTGTGCTATGTCATGGTACACACATCAAGGTCAGAGAAAAACTTTCTGGAGTTCTACTGTTTGGGTTCTGGAAATCTGATTAGTGTCATTATGCTTGTGTAACAAATACATTTACCCACCGAGCCATCTTACTTTCCCTATTTTTTTTTTTTTTAATGTGCATGTTCATGGCTATAAATAAACTGTGGTAACTTTCTTCATCATATTATTTTTGCTTTATCTCATAACATATTAACTATGTTTTAATTTTCATTTGTCTCAGGGTTTCTTCTAATTTCTCTTACAAGTTCTTCAACTCATTTGTCTTTTAACAGCATCTTGTTTAATTTATTCATCTGTGGATTTTCTTCTTTTTCTCATGCTATTCATTTCTAGTTTCCTTATGTTGTAATCAGAAAAGATACTTTTAAAATTTGTTAAGATAATTTGTAGCCTAACATGTGGTCTGTCCTGGGGAGAGTTCCATGTGCGTTTGAGAAAATATATATGAGCCAGACATGATAATGCAGGTCTGTAATCCTAGCACTAGAGAAGCTGAGGCAGACATATCACTAGGTTGAGCCAGCTTGAGCTATTGAGTGAGTTCTAGGCCTCCCTGACGTATATCATGAAACCCTGTCTACAAATTTTAAAAGGAAATTAGTTCATTATTTATTGAAGTATTTTATAAAAATTTTAAGGCTTATCATTTGTGTTTATTCAGAAGTTTCTTGGGTCAGAACTATATTGGTACTTTAGTCATTTTTTAAAATTCATTCTCCCCCCCTCACTGGGATATTAGCACAGGGTGACATCTGTCCAATGGTCATCACATGTCCCATGTATAACATAAAGTTTACATTAAAAAATATGAAATACTGAAGATCTCTCTGCTTTTTAGATCAAATCTCTTTAAACTTGTGGGTTAAATTTGATAGTGGAGTTAATTTAATTCTATGTTTAGGGCTTTTATGTGTTTTAATCTATTACATATCCCCATATAATTACAAGCCCTATTCATTAAGCTCCTGTGGGAAGCCCCTACCATCTACTTTTCTCTGCCTCAAATGAGAAGAGTGGTCACTGGTATCTATTCATCTATTCATTGTTTCTTGCTAGAACACAATTTATTTGAAATTACTTTTGTATTGATACTTAATATTTTTTCCTTTATGTTTTATAATTGGTATTTTTTGTTATGGTAAAAGGATTTTTGTGGCTTTCAACATTCTAACTAGTAGAACTACCAGATTACTTTGTATTCAGTTAGGAATTGCGATAGCAAGGTTAGACTTTTAGTCTCTCTATAGTGTAGTTCTAGTTTGTTCCTAGGATATTTACCATTACGCTTGAGAATAGTTTATAGGGCTTCTCTACCTGTACATGTCCTCAGCTATAGTTTTGTCATCCTGGACTCATCAGCCTACAGATTGGGAAAGAATCTTCACTAACCCTTTATCTGACAGAGGACTAATATCCAGTATATATAAAGTACTAAAGAAGCTGAAAAGCAACAAGCCAAGTAATCACTTAAAAAATAGGGAACAGAGCTAAAAGAGAAGTCTCTGTAGAAGAATATCGAATGACAGAGAAACACTTAAAGAAATGTTCAACATCATTAGCCATTAGGGAAACGCAAATCAAAATGACCCTGCGATTTCACCTTACACCCCATCAGAATGGCCAAGATGAAAAACTCAAGGGACAACACATGCTGGAGAGGTTGTGGAGAAAGGGGAATCCTCCTCCATTGCTAGTGGGAATGCAAACTCGTACAACCACTCTGGAAATCAATCTGGCACTTTCTCAAGCAACTAGGAATAGCGCTTCCTCAAGATCCAGCTATACCACTCCTAGGCATATATCCAAAAGAGACTCAAGTACACAATAAGGACATTTGCTCAACCATGTTTGTAGCAGCTTTATTTGTAATAGCCAGAAGCTGGAAACAACCCAGATGCCCCTCAACTGAAGAATGGATGCAGAAATTGTGGTACATCTATACAATGGAATATTACTCAGCAATGAAAAATAAGGAAATCATGAAATTTGCAGGTAAATGGTGGGACCTGGAAAGGATCATCCTGAGTGAGTTGTCCCAGAAGCAAAAAGACACACACGGTATATATTCACTCATATAGACATACAACATAGGACAAACCCACTAAAATCTGTGCATCTAAAGAAACTAATCAAGAGAGAGGACCTTGACTAAAACGCTCAATCCCCATCCTGAAAGGCAAAGAGGATGGACATCAGAAGAAGAAGAAAACAGGAAACAACTTAGGAACCTGCCACAGAGGACCTCTGAAAGGCTCTGCCCTGCACACTATCAAAGCAGATGCTGAGACTTATGTCCAACTGGCTCTAAGTGTGAGGCTCATGGAATAGAAGTATGTGTAAATATCTTACATAGTTTTATCTACAGAAGAGAATTAAAATGAGGGATGTTAGTAATTTTGTGAATAATTCTATCTACAAAATGAATTTGATGGAGTCACTGGAAAATCTGCATTGGAATCAGTTTATTCAGCTTCATGGCAACTTACTGACTAAAAGCAGTGTTAGTTAATTGTTTCTTTTATCTAGATAGCTGGTCATATTGGCATTAAATTCTTAAAGGTTTCTGTTAATTTCACAGAAATAGCTTTAAATTCTCTAAGGGACTAGAGAATATTGATGTACAGATAGACTTCTAACTTGCTCTTCAGAAAAGCCTAATTTGAACTCTGACTACTCACAAATTGAGTAATGAAATGTAGGGATATTAACCTTTGAAGCAAGTATTTTAAAATCTCAGTTAAAGTATAAAGGACTTATTATAATTAAGGGATAAAATGTGACCTAAAACGGTTGTCTTGCAGGTATGAGAGAATTGAAATACCAATCCATATTGTACCTCATATCACTATTGGGAAAGTATGCCTTGAATCAGCAGTAGAGCTGCCAAAGATCCTGTGTCAGGAAGAACAGGATGCATATAGAAGGATTCACAGGTAGCAACTCTTACTGTTTCTCCTGTTAGCTTCAGTGAAACTCCTTTAACTTCAACAGCTCAGCTTGAGTCCCCTTTTCTACCTGTCTGGGAAAAAGCGGCCTCAAATCAAGTTTCTCACACTATATTATAATGATCAATTTAACATTTCTATCTTGCCTCATGTATTTTCAATTCTTCAAGAGAAAACACACTTTCTTTTTGGGTTGTGAAAATAAACCACATCATAGTAGTCCCAGTGTTAAGTACTGAGTCTTGTCCATAAAATTCATAGTGTATCAAGACCTTTAATGAGAGATAATAATTTCATAGTTATGTTTTTTAATTATCTTTTTAATTTTTGAATAAAACCAGTATCCTTCAAATAATTTAAAATGAAGAATGGTTTATTACATTCATCTAATCCAATTGGTAAAGGTCTGATGTAGGTTATGATTTTGTCATACACCTGACCATTTTGTTTTTGCTTCATTGCTAACCTAAAGTATATTATCCTTTTAGCCTTACACATCTGGACTCAGTAACCAAGATCCATAATGGCTCAGGTAAGATTTTTTTTTTCTTTTCTGGAGAATATGACATGATCTCTGACATACTCATTTGTTGTTGTTGTTGTTACTGTTTTGTTTTAATTTTTTTTTTTTTAGATAGGCGTAGCCTTGGCTGTCCTGGACTGACTTTGTAGACCAGGCTGGCCTCGAACTCACAGAGATCCTGTCTCTGCCTTTCTGAGTACTGTGCCATACTCATGTTATAGAAGCAATTTTAGTTCATCTTGGAGTTTCCTTTCCAAGAGCTTAACTAATCTTGCTCCTTACATTTCCTTGGAACCTTAAATACTATAAATATGGCCTTATGATGAGACAGAAGGAAAACTAGAAAAGATTCTTTATAGACAGTTGTGTCCTGGTATATGTTTAAACACTACCTTTAAGGGAATCCCACTTTCCTTAGTATTCCATAGCATGGATTTTCAATAACTTTCAGAAATTTTAGCGATATGCCATTATGAACAGGTTTCATCACCAACCTATTGAAGAGTTGAAACACATAGGCCAAGTATAGGAAAGAGAATAAATACATCAAGCAAGAACTTTTCCATGTGAATAAATAGAGATAGAGAAGGAATTCCTGGGCAAGTCTAAGGAGCAAACAAAACAAAACCAAACCCCTCAGTTTAGTATAGTATACATACCAATTTACTTTTCTTAACATACACTCCTCCCCAGCTACAGCTCTTATTCAGCTAACCCGAATTTCTTTATTTAATGGCTAAATTAGATGTGGTGCCGCATGTCTGCAGTACCAGCAATTGGGAGGCAAAGGCTGCAGGACTGCCATAAGTTTGAGGGCAGCCTAGTCTACATAGAGAGTTCCAGGATAAAATCTGGCTCCTGAGTGAGACTCTGACTTTAAAAAAAAGTAAAACTAAAACAATAAAAATAATAATAACAAGGCATTTATAAGCTAAGAAGATGAGGAAGAGTGGAAAGCTTTTTTTAATTAATTAATTTTGAGGCAGAGTCTTTCTATGTAGCATTGGCTGTTCTGAAATTCATTATGTAAACCAGGCTGTTCTCAAAATCATAGAGATCTGCCTTCCCCTGCCTCCCAAGTGCTGGGATTAAATGCATGCACTACAACAACCAATGGAAAGATTTCTGATATTATTGGTAAGCAACTACTTTGGGAAGGAAAGAAGTGAGGCTTGGCTTAATATATACAATCATTTCTATCTGGATAAAATATATATGATATATAACCATACTCTTTTTTTAAGATGTATTCATTTATTATTTATACAGCATTCTGCCCGCATGTGTACCTGCATACCAGATCTCACTACAGATAGTTATGAGCTACCATGTGGTTGCTGGGACTTGAACTCAGGACCTTTAGGAAGAACAACCAGTGTTCTTAACCTCATACTCTTAAGATCACAATAATTTAAAAATAGAGTAATAGCTCAAAAGTAGACTAACAGATCAGTGGACCTGGACAGTACTTACAGACAGGCCCATGTATATGAAATAAATCATATTTATTTGAAATTTTCAAATTAGTAAAGGATGTGTTAATCACTAAGTACTATCCATTCTTTTGTTCATCTAAAAAGAAAAATTAGTACTTATTCCCTGCTAGATAGCCTTCTAGGCACAAGACTGTAGTACTGATCAATAGAGACAAGCTTAACTTCCATGGACTTAATTCTGTTTTTATTTGAGGAAACAGTAGAGAACCCTTCACTGCTTTCTTAACCCTTTCACTTGAAGAAATGAAGGGCTGGACAACTTTATCCTTTTTATCCTTTTTTTGAAACTTAATTTTATATTTTTACATAGATTTCTATTTGGTTTACAGATTTAGAGCTTCAGAATTTGTATCTGCTTTGCTCAGTTCTTCTCTTTCCCCCCAGTCGACTACTGAAAATCATTTAATAGTCATATTTATCGTACGTTAGAAACTTGTTCCTCCAAGCCATTTATCTGTCCATAACTGAGGCACTGTTAGTATTATAGTAGGAATATCCTAGTGGATAGTACTTTTCCATAGTTATCTCATCTGCTTTTTTTCTTTCTTTTCTTATTGAAGTGTTTACCAAGAATTTGTGCAGTCAGATGTCAGCAGTCAGTGGGCCTCTACTGCAGTGGTTGGAGGACAGATTGGAGCAAAACCAGCAACATTTGCAGGAGTTGCAACAAGAAAAGGAAGAGCTTATGGAGGAGCTGTCTTCCCTAGAATAAAGCAGGAGAACAAAAAATATGTGGTAATATTTTTTTTTCGGTTTGTGTGCTGAATATGGTCCAAAACTATATACAGCTCTTATATAGACAAATAATACAGCAGCACTTTTTATATACCAACAAATAGTTTGATGTATATAAAAACACAAGATATTTTCCTAAAATTTCCCCAGAGCTTATAGAATTCTCCTACCTGTAATTGCTATAAAAGAAAACATGCAGGATGATTTAAACAGAATATTAAAGTTATTTTTAAGGGGTATAAGAAGTACATTAGCAAGGAATATCTGGGAATAAAATATCTGAAAAGTTTATTTTAAAATTTAAGAATATTTATTCTATTTTTTTTTTGAGCCAGACTGTCAGTATGTATCCTTATTTGTCCAGGAACTCATTATGCTGGCCTCAAACTCACAGAGATCTCCCTGTAGTGCTGGGATTAAAGGCATGTGCCACCTATCATGTTTGGTATTAAATGTTTATTCTCAATGAAAATAACCAGCATAAACTTTTTTAGACAATGTCTCATTATGTAGCCTAGCTTGTCTGCAACTAAGAGAAATCCACTTGCCTCTGCTTCCTGAATGGTGGGATTAAAGATGTGCACCAGCAATATAAACTTCTTATAATTTGAAGTCTTTGTTTTTTATTTTCAGATATATCCTATATAATGAGATAAAGAAAGAAGAACACTTGGTATTTCTATTTTAGAGTTTGATGTTTTTGCTAGGCAAGTGAATCCTATGTACTATAGGATTAATGGAAAGACGTCCAGGTAGCTCATTAGCATCCACCTCTGTTGATTATTCTTACTTAGAATCATGTATCATGACTTCCTTCTTGATCTCTAAATATGTATTATGATATATCTAAATTTTGGTCTGTGTGGTTGTCCTTTTAAGCAGACAAGTGAGTTCTAGCTTGTTTAAGTCTAAAGCAAATTCTTGCTGATCTTGTCTAAGAATTCCATTATAATATGACCATGTTTTTTTTTTTAAAGAAATAGTAGGATTGATTTAATTTGTAATAGAAATCATACTTCAAAAATGTGATGACTGTATGATTCCTTCATATGTAACCACTAATTGTAAATGTGTCTTCAGAGAAGAGTTGATTCTGTTGCATCCTGGAAAGTAGGAATTGGAAAAAGAATAAATAAATAAAAAGAAAAAAAGGAGCTAGTATCAGTTCCAACCACACTGATATTTGGAATTTTTGCTTGTGTTCTTATTTTTCCCTAGATCATTGTTTTTCAGTATTCCAGAACCACTTGCAGTAGAGTCACCTGGAGTTCAAATTCAATCTTTGAGCCTAGAACCTAGAAATCTACAAGAGCTAATTATCTGATTATGCGGCAAACTTACATTTGGAAACAAATATTCTTAGAGCATAAGGAATGTAAACACTTTATTTTATCTAATTACCTCCTACTACAGTTATTATTTATTCATTTTTATAAAGCACATGAAAATACCTGGCATTCAATTTATTAAACTAAATAAACTTTAAAAAAGATAAAGTTGGAGGGCTCACATTATATAACTTCAAGACTTATAACGCTGTAGTAATCAATATACCATGATATTTACAGAAGAATCAACGGAACAGGAACAAAAATTCAGAAATAAACCCTCAATAATACGCTTAACTGATTTTGAAAAAGTACAAAAGTGATTCAAGGAAGAAAGGACAGTCATTTCACCAAATTGAATCTCCAAAGGACAACAAAATATGTTCTAAAAGTACCTCAAAATGTATCATGGATTTTAAGTCTAAGATGGAAAACTTTAGAAAAAATTATTCATGAAAAATCTTAAGGAGTCAAGCACTTAATATTCAAATGAAAAGCACAATCCACAAGAAAACAAAGTAGAAATATTAAACTTAACTAAAATTAAATTTTTCTTTTCTGCAAAAAAGTTAAGAGGAAACTCTACAATATCTGCTTTGTGGAAAAGATAGTATGCTTAAAACAAAAAAACAAAAAAAACACAAAAAAGAAAATGAAAAAAAAGATATAAACATTGTCACTAAAGTGGGTATATAGATGGCAGGTAATTATGTGAAAATATGAGCCTTTAAGTCATTGGGGAATGCAACTTAAAACTATGGTATGGAGAAAATAGTGAAAATACCAAATATTGTTGAGGATGCAACCTAGATTTCTCATATACCAATGACAGGAATGTAAAATATAGCTACTTGGTAGAAGAGTTTGGAAATTTTTATAAAGTTAAACATATACTTAATCTGACCCAGCTATCATATTGTCTTGGCACAAATAAAATTTACATTTTTCTTAGCAGTTTTATCTGCGATAGCTGCAAATTAGAAATGACCCAAATGTTCTGCAGTGGGTAAATAGCTAAACAAACCATTATTTAATCCATAAACATGGATGCTGTGGCAAGGGATCATATCTGAAGACCTAATTCTATGTGATCTGTCTGGAATGCAGACATGCCACATACCTTTAATCCCTCTGGCTGAAACACAGACACACTCTTAGCACACACCTTTACTCCCAAACAATGAAGGTAAAGTTAGTTTGTAGAAAGAAGCACCCATGTTTGAAAGTGATATCTAATTGAAGAGTAGACCAAGTGATGAATCCGAGAAAGTTTTGACAAAAGGGTCAGGATAGGATATGCCCAACTCACATGAGAACATAGAAAAAGAGTCTGCTTAAGGGAGGGCAGGAGAAAGGAGAAAAGGCAGTTTTAACCAGATGGTTGTACAGAGACAGGCTGCAGAGAGAGAACATATTAAATGCGGGTGAAGACAGTCAGACCCAGAGAATGAGAAGAAACTAGAAGATTAGAACAGATTGCTAGAGTTAGTTTGAGACCACACAAAGCAATTCAGTCAGAAGCTGAGAGAATCCAGTTAGAATCAGTCATATTGGAGAGGTGTTTGAGCCAGAACAGCCAGCCAGAGTTCAGAAAGAACTAGAAAAGGTGGGCATATTCAGCAATTAGTCTCAGAGGCTGAAAACATTCTAAGACTAGATTAGATTGTACAGAGGCTAGAGGCTTTGAGGATTGGGTCTAGGTTATTGTACAGAGGTAAGAAGCCTCCAGGACTAGGCCTAGGTTAGCAGATGGAGGCAGTAAGCCTCCAAGATGACAGTTAAATCTGGCAAATTAAAGTTACTTTTACAGAATACACTGCTAATATATATGAGTTGGGTGAGACTTGGGACATTTTAGTTAATGAAAAAAAAAGCTATTCTTAAAAGATCACTTACTGTATGGTTGCATTTCTAGAGCATTGTTGAAATGACAAAATTAATGAAAAGGAAAAACAGAATAATGGTTTCTAGAGTCAGGGAGTGAATGTTGTAAAGCATATGTATTGTTATGATAGTATGACATAAAAGTTCGTTTAGGCTGATCAAACAGTTTTGTACCTAAACACAGTTTTAGTGTTTAGTACATAAGTCTGTTCCTATGCTAACATTTTATACATTTATCTGCATATAAATAAATACATATAAAAATCTCATAGAAGTTAGTAGGAAATAAATGTTTCGTTTTATGATATAATAAGATGTATGAGCTATATGTGGTGGCACATGGCTGCAATCCCAGAGCTCAGGAGTCTGAGGCAGGAAAATTACCACAAGTTTAGAGCCACCCTGAGGTATATTGTTCCTAGCTCATTTTGCTACAGTATAACACCTTGCCCCAGAAAAAAAGGTGAGGAAGGTAGGTGATAAAAAGGAAACCTGGTGGTGGGGATAAAATTATTTGAATATTCTGATAGGCCAACTATGAGCACAAGTATGTGCTTCATTTTCATGACTAAAATTATAGTAGATGACCATTAATGTTACTTTTCTGTCAATGTTCATATTTTTAAAATGTTGGTCATTGCACTGGAGAGATGGCTCAGAGGTTAAGAGTACTGGCTGCTCTTTCAGAGGTCATGCCTTCAATTCCCAGCAACTACATGGTGGCTCACAACCGTCTATAGTGAGATCTGGTGCCTCTTCTGGTGTGGAGGCTTACATGCAGGCAGAATCTGTATAAATAATAAATAAATAAATTTTAAAAAATGTTCATCATCAGAAAGAACAATGATATGTGATGTGATTATTTTCCTAGTTACATCTATATGGTTTACCTTTACACAAAATATTGCATTACAACATACAGCTTTGTATCTTCTTTGATTCTCCCTTTTGAATCACAGTCAAAACTCTGATGGAAAGAGAAGGTTCTTGTTTAGATAGGTGTGTTCTCTCTCTGTTTTTTAAAAGCCTTTTCTTGAGATAAGGCCTTACTCTCTAGCCCAGGCTGGCGTCAATCTAGCAGTTTTCTTGCATCTTTCCTGAGTGCTAAGATTACAGGCATACAATAATACCATGTCTGACTGCTTCCTTATTTTCTATACATGGAACTGCATTCTGACCTTGTCTACACAGCCTTTGAAACCATTCCTCCCATACTCACCAATGACTTCTACTAGTCAAACTCGTATTTTCTTTTGAACACTGTCATTAATAAACCTCTGGCTTGACACAGTTGATCATTCTTCCAGATCTACCATTTTTGGGTTTTGTTACTGTATATTTTATTAGTTCCTATTCCTTGTCTGTCCCTTTTAAAATTAATTCATAACTTCTCTATACAGTTACAGATGAATCCATTTTTTTTGTCTACACCTCTGTCTAAACTCCAGACTTAGATTTCTAGCTACTCATTGTATATTTCCACTAGCCAGTCTTATCACCACATTGAATTTGATAAATCTAAATCTTAACATGATTTTTTGCTTAACCTATACTCTCTTATATCTCTTCCCTCAGTGATGGAAGAGATATGCACAAACTGGAATCCCAACAGGCAACCTCAACATTTCTTGTCACCTTTTAGACTGTTTGCATTGGGACAGAGTTACAGCAGTCTGACTATTTTCTGTAATCTAATCAGAGTTGCAATATGTGGAATAGGTATGTGCAAAGAGGAATGGGCAGGTGGAATGTCAAGGTGCCTACTGACTGGGGTCACTGCATGAAGGCATAAAGTTCTTAGCCTTGCAGCAGCATGGAAGGAACAAGATAGAGTGAAAGGTGTCCTGTGTCAGTACCCTCAGAGTGAAAAGGAGACATTCTCTTACATTAAATAAAAGGATTTGTGCAAATAAGTATATGTTTTGAGGAAAACTGAAGCTAGTTTTTTTCATGCTTGTGACATTATTTTCAGATACATAAACAGGAAGGATAAAATTAATCCCCATGATGTTAAATGGAAATAGAAACTTGATGTGAACATTTCAAAAGGGAATTACATGAGAGTTGTGTGTATACATTGAGAGAATGATCAGCGTGTGTGTATACCTCCAGTTCTTACCTCTGCCCATTAAAAGAAAATAGAACTGGCACTTCAGTAGCTAATGAACACACCACTAATAGTGAATAGATTTGGGTCCAGAAATGAATGCATATATATATATGGTGAGCTGATATTTTTTTTTAAATATGCCAAGACTACTGAGTGGGGAAACAATAATCCTTTCAACAGCTGGTGATTTGATAACTAAATATATGCACCCTTACCCCATATCATATATGAATGGTAACTAAAAATGTATCAAAGATTTAAATTTAAGAACTTCTAACTACTAAAATATTAAAACAGCAGTAAATCTTTATGACTTCAGTTTTAGCAATGGTATTTTAGACAAACCACAAAAATATAGTTGTTAGACCTCATGAAAACTTAAAAATGTTGTACATCAAAAACATAAAAAAAAATGAAAACTCAGAGAATGGGCTTTCTGTTTACAAATAACATCTCTAAGAATCTGGTATCCAGAATATATAAAGAACCCAGGCACTAACAGCAAAAAAGCAACCCAATTCAAAAGTAGAAAAATAAAAACCATAAGATACCACCTAATACCTAGGCCCAGTATTCTAGAAAATGGTAGACTAACAGCTGTGTGACCTACTGAAGAAGAGTAAGAATAAAATAAAATAACTGTTGTAATGAGTGGAAGACCTTCAGAAATCCACAAAGTTAGCAATAGAACATCTTAAAAATTGGAAAAGAAATGGGTGATGCACTGAAAAGAAGTAGGCCAAGGTCCAGCTCCAGCCTCATTACTCTCTGGCAGAAGGAAGAAAAGCAGGAGCCTTCTTCAAGATGTAATCTAGGCCACATTGAGGAAAAGAGGTGGGTAGTTCTTCCTTCAGAGCACT